TGTACATACACCGAGAAAATATGTAAAGTTTTACTGCAATTTCTCCTTTTGTTTCATAATCTCTTTTGTTAGTGCCTCCTTCAATAGGTATGTTTGTTGTTGTCTTCACTATTTTTATTTAGTAATACTAAGTATTTGATTCAATTGTGATGTTTGTTATTTTCTAGCTTGGATATATGCATAAATTTTCTTTTCATTTCTATCACATTAATTTGTTTTAAAAACAATTTGAGTCCAAATTTTCTTTTGACTTGAAGTTCTATTTTAGTTTGTTATTCATGCTAATCAACGTACTTTATGCCCTTCAGATGGGGGAAAGATCCAAGAAATCGTTTTTAATCGCAACTGTAGTATCTTGAAATTAACATGGATATTCAAATAGATAGCGTGAAGTATTTTAAATAAAACTCTTTTTCGATGGCTGATGACAACATGTTTTATTTATTTTTATTATTTATTTATTTTTATATTTATTTTTATTTTTTTATTTTTTTGGGGCTCTGAAACATATTTTCTTATGTTACACTTTTTTATACTAACGCATTTTGTGTCATCGGAATAGGGTTTGGTTAAAGAAATCGTTTTCATAATAACTACTTAATGTCTGGAAAATATTCAAATATATACTCTGAAATATTTATGAATCAAAATTCTCTTTGGATGGTAAACAAGTGAAATCTCTCTCAGACTGACGGACACGCATGCAACTGTTAGTTTATAGGTTTTAGGGCAGAATATACAAGAAGCCCCTTATCCACAAGTCATTTAAAAAATTCAGCGAAAAAATCCCTTGTGTATAACTGTTGATGAAACTGTGTTAATTTTAAGAGAAAAAGTATTAGTTTTTTTAATCTTTTTATCATTAACAAGAATTATCATAAGTCCAATGATTACACGATCACAGATGGGAGCTTCTTGTTAAAATTTTGGGTTTTTTTAAATACTGCTCCCGCAAAACTTAGGGCTCGGTTTTTAAAAAAATTTCCTTATGGTCAAATAATAGGCTTTGGAGGACAAGTCGCAAAATACATAAGTGTTGAGGGGTTTTACTAAAAAAACAAGGTATAAATGAAGTTTTTTTAATCATATAAGTTAACGTTAATTTTGTATAAATTATTAATTTATTATGACAATATAACAGTGGACGATTGTGATCTTCGTGGATGACAACAGACAGTCATCGCTCCAAGAGAATTAAAAAGGAATTAAGATCTATATCAGACAGTCTAATACTAAAGGGAATAGGATAGGAGTTTGATTCATGGTGTTGGGTTTCAATACAATTGAGTAGGAATAGGAATATTTATCTACTCCTCTATACTTAAAAGAGAGTATATATGATTTTTAATTTTAAACATACAATAACTAAATTAAATATATTAAAATTTGAGGGAGACAAGTTTAATAAAATACAGCGCTCAAAAAAGTAGAGGGTAGTGCTTTGGGGTGCACACTAGTTAAAATAAGTAACATGTAAAGAAGACCCTGCGGCTAAATTAAAATTAAATATTACTCCTGTGTTGCCCTCCCCTCCCTCTATTTGTCGCTCATTATCTTGTTTTGATGGATCTCTTCTTGGCAGGTAAAGCACCATGGTAGAAAAAGCTCCGAGAAAAATACTACGATTAAGACCACTGCTCAGCAAAACCAATCGATTTTCAGAAAAATGCGGTTCAATGTTTTGTTAAATCTATACAAGCTATTTTCTTGTCTTGTAGCTATTAAAATTTCGGCCCTAAAGCCAAACATTCTTCAACTAAAAAGTAGACGTTATCCTGGAAATACTAGCAAGTTTTCTCGATATCACGGTTACGGAACAGGTATCAAATGTGAACTAATGAGCAGGGGTGGTAAACGATCGAATCGAATCGAATATTAAGGTGTTCGTATTTTTATTTGTTTACAATTATCGAATTCGAATGCGGACTCTAATATTCATCTATAGAGTTTTTCGAATTCAAAGTCAATAATTTTTTATATTTGATAAATATTCATGAATATTCATGAATACTTATTGAATATCAAAGTATATTTATTCTGCTAGAGAATTTAATTTTCAATTAGTATCTAAATTCATAAATAAAATTATTCCCTCATAATATATGATCAATATACATATATTTAAATCAAAATTCTCATTGGAAAACAGATTTATGATTATTTAAGTCTTAAAATCAGTAAATAAAACTCAAGTAGAAATGGTAAGTAGGTTAAAAATATAACATCATATGTGCAATAATTTAAACAATAAGTGATCAAATTCTAAACAAATATTTGATAGACAAACGAGTCGAATATACATCTGGTTAAATTCTATTCGTTAGTAAAGTCGAATACTAAAAAATACTTGTCTAGTGATAAATGAACTATCGAATCGAATATGACCGAATAATAACTCGAACAATTATCGAACTATTTATTAATTATTTGGTTCATTTCCACCCCTACTAACGAGTGATGCTTGTTGATTCGGATTATTGTGCAAATTAATGTGTAGGAGAGTTGCAGAGTTCCCAATATACATAGCTTCCCTTATTCCCCAGGGTTTAAGGGAGTGGATTCGCAATGATTCTTCTAAAGCTAATCGGGTTCAATTATTTCTCGGATTCTAATTATGGATGCCCTTGCACATTTAATGTTCTTCTAAAAGTATAAGCTTCAATTAGCAATTCTTGGACAACAAGAATAAGATGTTAACTCTTGATACTGTACGTGTGCCGAAAAATAGAAATAAAAAAAATAATATTATTAAATTATATTATTGTCGTAATTTTGAGCAAGACGCGCATCCCGGTTACAAGTCCAAACTCCCAAGTGAACTGGGGACTCTATTTGCTTAATGATTAAGTTGCAGATATCAAGAACAGAGCGCTTAAACTTAAAACAAGGGTTCGGGTGGTCTTTTCGCAAACAACAAACTCCTGTAGGAAAAGGAATACGTCGCCTCATATATATGCCTACATAAAGAGTCAAGAAGTTGCACAATTTCTCGCAACAATTTCTCCCCTTTGTTTCAAAAATCTCTTTTTGCTTGCGCCTCCTTCAGCAGGTATTCATTTGATTCATTGACGATATTTATTATTTACTAATTTGCATGCACAACTTCTTTACCTCCTCTTTTTTGTTTCAGTTTCTTTTGCGTTCAAGTTAGTCCTATTTTCTTGATAATTGCTTTTTCGTGTTAATCATCAATTCACTTTATGACCTTGAAATAGGGTTGTGTTTCAAGAAATTGTTTTTAATCAACTACTGTCTAATATCTTGAAGTTCGCAAGGACATTCAGATGCATAGTTTGGATTATTTATAGATAAAACTTCTTTACTGACCCAAAAAAGAATAAAAATTTAAATTAAAAAAAAAAAGAATTTTTGGGTGGCTGATGACTACATATTTTAAATTTTGGGAAAGAAAAAGTTTGAAATTCCCTTTCGCTTTCAAGCCTACTTCCTTCCATACTAACACATTTTATGTCAATGCAAACTGGGTGTGGTTAAAGAAATCCTTCAGTGTTTAATATCTTGAAATTTTTGTTATAATCTGGCATTCACGTTCTAAGCTCTCAACCTTCAGCGTCCTTATAAACGTTGGTTCTTGCAATTTAACGAGATGTAACCTTACGTTCACGTTCCAAACCTGCGGCGCGCGGCTAAATAAACTTAGATATTGCTCCTCCTACTAGACTAGTTAATATTTTTTTCAGGAAGAAATTTGGATACCTGTGAGTCCTTCAAACTTGAATTCCTACATAAAAGCAGCACACACAGTCTCCTCGTTACGTACTTCTCGTCATTCTAATTGCAAATACCTTTGCTTCAAACTCTACCATGGAATCACAAACAAAATCCGAAGTCCCTCTCTCTCTCTCCCCTTCCGCCTGATTCTATTGTTTTAATCCGTTTCTTCTTGACAGGTAAAACACCATGGTAGCAAAAGATCCCAGAAAAATACTACAATTGAAACCACTGCTCAGCAAAGCCAATCAGTTTTCAGAAAAATGCGGATCACAAGAGCACAACCCGAAATTCCTCAACATGTACTGCATGACTTGCAACATTGAACCGCTGTGCATAATGTGTTCGGGAAGCAAAATAGAATCTGCGCATAGAGAACTGGGTCATAAGGTTGTTCAAGTGAGTATATGCTTCAGCAGTAGCCTATGAGGGTCATTAGTTTCCTTTGTAACTGTCTCAACTTACAAACTGTTACAAATAAATTTACAGGTTCAGAAATCAACATACCAGAACGCACTCAAAGCGAAGGACGTTACGGATTGCATAGATGGTTCTGATATTGTGCAGTGCATTAACAATCACAAGGCCGTCTTCATTATTGGTACACGAGGAGATCCAAAGAAACATCGTCTTTTCGTCACTGAACAAGACTGTGTCCATTGTGGGTTTGCGCTCAAGCCCACCAATCCCCAACCTAATGCAAAATACTGTTCTATCGAATGCAAGGTAACTAAAGAACGCCTCTTTTCTTCTTCTTCTTTTTTTCTTTTTCTGATTAGCATCAGAGATCCTATTTTTCTTACTTGATACTATACGTTTGATACAGGTGAAGCATATAGAGAACTTGCCCGCCTATGAAAGCACAAGAACAGATACAGAGAATTTGCCTCCTCCATTAGATTTAAGTGCGACAACATCAAGTCAGCCTGATAATTTATCATTGCCAGGTTTAAATGCAACAACAGCGAATCAGCCTGATAATCTATCAATGTCAATAGCACCCACTGCAACTTCGCTCAAATGCCGGGCACGTATGAGAAAGGGGATTCCACGCAGAGCACCTTTCTTCTAAGAAAGACTGAAGATTTCCACGTTCTTTTGTTCATTTGTTGAGATAGTAGAAAATAACATATAAGGATAAAAGGAAAAGTTTTGATGTGTTTACTTTCATCAGAGAACAATTTAGGCTCTGTTTGCTTTAGAATATAATTTCTTGAATGTTCAATTAGTTCTTAATCAACAGACCAATCTTTGTACCTTCTTTATTCAGCAACTTTACCAATTTACAGTTTTGTGCATTATGTGTTGGCAGTATGGTGTATTAATGTCCAGCATATTCAATGTTAAACCCTATACATACTATTTTCTCTTTTGTAACTCTGAAAATTTCAGCCCTAAGCTAAACACTAATTCAACTAAAAGCTGAACACTATCCTGGAAACACTTGCTTTTGTTTGCTGCTCAACCTGCAGAGAGAGAGAGAGAGAGAGAGAGAGAGAGAGAGAGAGAGAGAGAGAGAGAGAGAGAGAAGAGAGAGAGAGAGATCTAAGGCTATAACACTGGCTACACATTGCCGACATTAATCGAAACAAAAATAATTCTGAGACGGCATCAAAGGGAGAGAAAAATGCATTAAAGCTGCAGTGCTACTCCAAGCTGTAGATGATAGTTACAAAAGAACTGACAGTTTTTCTTTTGTATCCTATGTGTGATTTGTTGGTGCTATTACGTCTCGACTTTGCTTGATATCATTGTTACCATGTCGGATATCAAGTGTTAACTAAGAGAGAGAGAGAGAGAGAGAGAGAGAGAGAGATCTAAGGCTATAACACTGGCTACACATTGCCGACATTAATCGAAACAAAAATAATTCTGAGACGGCATCAAAGGGAGAGAAAAATGCATTAAAGCTGCAGTGCTACTCCAAGCTGTAGATGATAGTTACAAAAGAACTGACAGTTTTTCTTTTGTATCCTATGTGTGATTTGTTGGTGCTATTACGTCTCGACTTTGCTTGATATCATTGTTACCATGTCGGATATCAAGTGTTAACTAATGAATGATGCCTGGTTATTCTGATAATTGTGCGAACGTGTATGAGAGCTGCAAAGTCCCCGATAGATGGTTTCTCTTATTCCCAGGGTTTAAGGCAGTGGCTTCAGGGGGGCGGTAACAATGGCCGATGCACGGGGCTGACCTGAGATGGAACTGCTCCAAGTTGTTTCTTCTTTTGATCAGTTTCTGACGGGAAAGAAAACATGGAAGCTGTGAATTATCTGTAGATTGGAGAAACCTATACTGTGATTGAACAGTCCGAAGTTCTCTCAGGCTGACAGTTGAAATTATTTCAGCTTTAGATCAGTATAGTAGTGGTTAATTCAGATGCTTCAGGAGACCCTAACTTGGGTGTTTTTTTTTTTCGTGGTGCTGAGATTCGACTTGGTCTACATTATGTCTGTACAACTTCGTATAGGTGGTGATAAGTCAACATCAATAGAGGAGATTGGATTGATCGGATTTGTGTCTTGGGCATAACAAATACTAAGAGCACTAGACTGGCATCAAAGGGAGTATTCTTTTGCAGAGCTTTCATCGGAGAGGATGTTTGGTAATTTGAAAGTGAAGATGGAAGTAAGAAAGTGAATTTACTTCAAACCAATATCAGGGTAACATATACAGGATAACAAAGCTTATTCAGACAAACCATCAAAAACCTCTATCAAAGGAACACGCGGTAGTTAAGCCTGAAGAGAGAGATATAGAACTGAACATTGTAGCAACATTACAGTACAATAGAAACATACTACTCTCCCAAGTAGAAAACTAACGACAGATGCACTACAATACCAGACGATATAATAACTTACAACACAGAAAATCAACATCAAGCCTCTTGGTACTCTCCTTCCTCCTCATCCTCGTACTCCCCCTCCTCATCAGCGGTCGCATCCTGATACTGCTGATACTCCGACACCAAATCATTCATGTTACTCTCCGCCTCTGTAAATTCCATCTCATCCATACCCTCACCGGTGTACCAATGCAAGAAAGCCTTTCTCCTAAACATGGCAGTAAACTGCTCGCTCACACGGCGGAACATTTCTTGAATTGACGTGGAGTTACCGATGAACGTCGACGCCATCTTAAGCCCGGTGGGTGGAATGTCACAGACAGAGGATTTGACATTGTTGGGGATCCATTCGACAAAGTAAGATGAGTTCTTGTTTTGGACATTGATCATCTGCTCGTCGACCTCTTTGGTGCTCATTTTGCCACGGAACATGGCAGAGGCAGTGAGATATCGGCCATGGCGGGGGTCAGCAGCGCACATCATGTTCTTGGCGTCCCACATTTGTTGGGTGAGTTCAGGGACCGTGAGAGCACGGTACTGCTGCGAGCCGCGGGAGGTGAGGGGAGCGAAGCCCACCATGAAGAAGTGGAGACGAGGGAAGGGGATGAGGTTGACGGCCAGTTTGCGAAGATCAGAGTTGAGCTGGCCAGGAAAGCGGAGGCAGCATGTGACTCCACTCATGGTGGCAGAAATGAGGTGGTTCAAGTCACCAACTGGTTCAGTAAAAATCTTGTTAGAATGTGTATATTCTTTGAGATGAATAAATGCACTAATATCAATTGACAGGGATCAAGTGAAATAAAAATTAACTGTAGAGAAGAATAGATACAGAAGAATCAAGTTGACTATGATCAAATGACGTTACATAATCATTGAGATATTTCATATATAACAAAATTTAAGCTATAACAAAATTTAAGCTACTTACAGCACAAACATAGCAATAACAAGTATTAGCTTTGTGAACATCCATTTCAGTTAGCTTTGTGACATGTATATTTCATTTAGCTTCGGTTAGCTATTTTTTGGAGTATCACCTTCAATGACATGAATATTTCAGTGAGCTTTGTGAACATCTATTTTATAAAGAAGAAATGTGCTGTGCAGAGACAGGCATACTTCAACGAGCTTCAATTAGTTGTTTTTTGGAGTATCGACTTCAATGACAAGTGACTCAATTATTCTAATAGTGTGCACCACCCTCAGTGAAATATACATCATCTTAGCAGATCAAGATATACAAATCTATATATTAGTAGCCATCAGAAGACCAGTACAAAACGACTATGTCTAGTTCCTTTCACCAGATCATTGGGAGAATCAGGGTTCACTAACCTATTTCAGTGCTATTATCAGGAGACTGTACAGTAATGTCAATGAACTCGGCAGGTAAGGGTGCACAAATCAAGACTCTGTACAAAAAAAGAAACTATATATACACTATGAGAGGAAATTCTTACAGCTTGGAGTGGTTAGCTTGAGAGTGCGGAAGCAGATATCATAGAGTGCTTCGTTGTCAAGCACCATACACTCATCTGCATTTTCCACCAGCTGGTGCACTGAAAGAGTTGCATTGTAGGGCTCAACAACAGTATCAGAGACCTTTGGGGATGGGAACACAGAGAAGGTGAGCATCATGCGATCGGGATACTCCTCTCTGATCTTTGATATCAACAATGTGCCCATGCCAGACCCAGTTCCACCTCCCAAAGAATGGCATACCTGGAAACCTGACGGGAAATTTGAATGAAAGTTAGCCCACGAGCTGGAGAATCAAAGAAACTGTACAGATAAAGAACAAAAGAGAAACAAGCAACAAACAGATGGACAATGAAAAAAGCAAACAAGAAAACAATCAGAAAAATTAGCTACAACATGAACCATCGTCAAAAGCAGAAATTAAGGTCTCAGATGAGGCCATTGTAGACTGAATCTTTTTTTTTTTTTTTTTTTTTTTTGGAGGGAGAGAGAGAGAGAACTGTTTCTTAAATAATTAAGACAAAAGGTACCAATGGACCCCAAAAAGGGGAGCAAGACAGAGCTAATCCATAAAAGAAGACTGACGAAAAGCTATGATTCTCTCTGCCCAACTTTATGGTATAGATGAAACAACTTGTAGAACCATGTTATCATTTTTCTCGAAAAAGACATAAAATTGATTCTTAAGGAATGTATTTTATCTGAAACTTTTATCATGTATCTATTGGAGCATTTTAGAAAACAATTCTCTCAGATCAAAGCAGACACGAGAATGGAGCCATTTATTTTTGTAAGATTGTTTCAGATCTGATCATTAGAGAGCAGATCTGGAGATAGAAAGCACGAGGGGAATTATGCAAACAATTAATTAAAAATTCAATCACAAGATCACAATCAATTAGCAAGGAAAACACCAATAAAAGAAGAAAAATGATCACTGATGTTCATTGACCTATTTAAAAAGGCAACTTTATACAAGAAAATATCATGTTTGTACCAAAGTAATCATGATTAAGTATTAGTGCCTTAATAATTAGCGTACTGATTTCGAATTAAAGAAAATAGGATCTAGTTAACAGATTAATGGGAAGATCAAGATCTGATTTAGCATTTGTTAAATTAATTTCACAACATCAGGATCCAATGGGAATCCATCTGATCTACTGAATTCTGTTAGTTACTATTAAACAAAGACAGTAACTGAATTCTACACATTTTTCATTCTAATCAACCCAATAGTAGATAATTCTAGATCAGATCTAAACATTAAAAGCACATTATCCCAATACCACGAGGTCTACCATAATAAAATCCTTTAGAAATAAGCAAAAAAAAAGAAAGAAATCTCACCTTGCAGAGAATCGCAATTCTCAGCCTCCTTCCTCACAACATCAAGAACCGCATCGATCAACTCCGCTCCCTCAGTGTAGTGCCCCTTGGCCCAGTTATTCCCAGCGCCGCTCTGCCCAAAGACAAAGTTATCAGGCCTAAAAATCTGGCCATAAGGCCCAGATCTGAGGCTGTCCATGGTCCCAGGCTCGAGATCCATGAGCACCGCTCTCGGCACGAATCGGCCGCAGCTCGCCTCGTTGTAGTAGACATTGACGCGCTCCAGTTGAAGATCGTTGTTGCCTTGGTATCGGCCGGTGGCGTCGATGCCGTGCTCGTCGCAGACGACCTCCCAGAACTTGGCTCCGATCTGGTTGCCGCATTGGCCTCCCTGGATGTGGAGGATCTCACGCATTTTGACTGGATTAGGGTTTCGAGATCTAGGGTTAGGGTTTGAGAGTGGAGAGCGTGAGTGACGAGGGCGAGCGAGAGGAGGATGATGATATATATAAAACGAGGAAGGAGGGGTTAACGGGGAAAATTAACGGACGTTTTGAGTGAGGGGAAAGGCTAAATTTCATAAAACGCCCTTAACTTTGGATAATTGTCATAAAATATAAGAAAACCCCCATAAGTTATGGGGTTATCAGAAAACCCCTTTAACTTTGAGATTTTATAAAAAACCTCTAATTTAGGGGGTTTTCTGCTAAAATCTGAACGCTAAAGGGGGTGTTGTGATATAATCTACAAGTTAAAGGCTGTCTTGTGATAATCCCGATACTCAGGGGGTTTTTCCTCATATTTCAAAAGTTAAGGGGGTTGTCCGTTAATTTTCCAAAGTTAGGGGGTATTTCTGATATTTAGCCAGGGGAAATTTTTGTATTTTTGGCACTGTTTGGCAACCAAAAAAGTGTCTTATCTAAGAGCTTATGTCTTATTGATCTGGTCAATAAGCTATCTGTTTGACAAAACTAGCTGAAAGCTGCGAGATTATAGCTGAAAGCTGTTAAGCTAGGTGAAAGCTGTGAAATTGTAGCTGAAAGCTGTTAGCTGTGTAGCTAGCTGATTGACTAGAACTGTTTGGCAAAAGTAGCTGTACAACTAGCTTAAATTTGTTAAATGACTAAAAAAGACATGCAATATTATTGATATAAAATTAAAATTATTATGGGCAAAAACGAAAGAAAAAAATTGGCAGCTCCTTCCCAAAGACAAACGCTACTTGAGGTAGCTTTCCAAAAGCTACTTGCAAAAGACATAATCTCTAAAAGAATCTCCTTCTATTTTTGGTCACCAAACAGCTCTAGTGAATGAAAATTGGGATTTGGGAAGGGCTTGTTTTGTCCTTTTGTGTCGTTCCCATGTCACGCGGTGATATGTTTACTGTTGCAGTTTGAAACCCGTGGTAAAACTTACAATTTTGCAGCCTTCCATCTTTTTTCCATGGATGAGCCCGGATCTTTTTTTTTTTCTTCTTTCTTTTTTAATTAAAATAAGAAAGGAGACAAGTAGCGTCGTAAAACTAGTCTTCGGGCTTTTAGATGCAATTATAGGGAGCGCTTTTATTACGTTTTAAAGTTCCACAACTATTTATTTTTAACGTAACTAGCAGAAAGCAGACGATGAGAGTTCTAGAAAACTCGTTGCACTAAGAAGTTTTAGATCTCTCAAGCAATCTATAGATCATACTAATAATTTGAACTGACATTAAAACAAAATTAAAGTTCATCAAGTATTTTTAATTCATTAGTATATCATATTTGAATTATCATCTTCTTGAGAATCCAAATTCAAAAACTAGCATCTAGGCTTGGATGATTTATTAAATAGTGCGATTCCAATGCTAATTAAAAAGCTAATAGTCCCCGTTTCAATGCTAAAAAGAAGCTAAGAATGCCTGACATATGTAGTTCAAACTTCACATTACAAAACATCATAGATATTTTTTTTTACCCAGAGAAAAAGGTTTGAAACGTGAACAATGACAATTGACAACAATAATAATAATTAAGTTTTTATTTTAAATTTTTTAGGTCGGGCTATATAAATTCTACTCTTCTTTTAAGATTTATCCTTCTTTATGTTGTCTCGGGACACGCATTGAAAAGATAGACAATAATGAATGGCACTGAGCCACTGACTGAGTAATGCAATACGGGCCTGTTTGTTTCGCAAAAAAATACAGAAAGTGGGGGAAAGTGGGGGGAAAAAATATTTTTTGACGCTTTCCTCCACTTTCAGAGGTTTGGTTCGTCAAAGCTATAAAAGAAAGTGGGGAAAAGTATGAGCTGTCACTATATTATTGGTTGATGCGAGTAATTTTTGATGTTTTCCTCTAATTTCCTTGTTTAGATTTTTTTTTCTTGTGTTTGGTTCATTCTTAAAAGTTGGGGAAAAAAGATAAGATGAGATGAGATGAGATGAGTTGTCACCATATTATTGGATGATGAGATGAGATGAGTTTTCCTCCACTATCCTTGTTTTTTTGGAGGAAAGTGATGGAAGGAAATTTTAATGAGATGTGATGAATTGTCACCATATTATTGGATGATGTGAGTAATTTTTAAAGATGATAGAAAACGAAGAAAAGTGGGAGAAAGTGAGTTAGATGAGTTGATTGATGTGACTCATTTCTTGTGTTTTGTTTATTTTTAAAAGTATGAAATGAGATGTGGTGGGATGAGTTGTCACAATATTATTGGAGAAAAGTGGAGAAAGTGAAGAAAAGTGGGTTTTGAAAAGTTGGGGAAAGTAAAAAAGTGAAGGAAAATGGGTTTTGGATTCTGGGGAAATGAAACAAGCAGGCCCTACGTGAAAATTTGTAAGGACTAGTATGTGAAAGATGCTTCAAAATCATTCGGTCGTACTGTATGTACATCAGATAGCGTCAAGTGGGTTTTGTTCAGTTCTCGAAAGGTTAATGTCAGGGATCAGGATGAGCACGTAGCTAAAATTGTCTGCAGACTGCAGTTTGTCCAAAATGTTTGTTAATTATGAGATAACCACAATTTATTAATTTATTACTGTTTCTAATAACTACTTAATCAGGTACTAACCGCACACAGCTTGACCGTCCTTTTTACTGAACCGTACGTCCAATTTCAGAGATCTAAAAAAGCTTCTACTCTTTCGGCGCCCTGTGCCTCTGACGCCCCTTCAGGGTCTTAATACTCAAAATCTAAAAAAGGAAATTTGTAATAAGCTCCTTGGAAATTTTCTTATTGGTTATTCATTCGTTGACGCCGTTACACCTAACCGCTATTAGCTGCCTGTTAATTGATATTGCATAGAAGAAGCTCACAAACATGAGAATAGTCTTCATGGAAGAAATAGACGGTTTCATGTCTAAATAGAACCACGCAACAAAATTTGAATACTCTATGTGTTTGTATTTTTTTCAAAACCGCCTAAATCCATGCGTGCAAGCGGACGGTTAAGGAGGGAAATTAAAAAAATGCTCCCATGCTTGCGGGTAAGAGTGGTAAGCGATCGAATCGATCAGAATCAAACACTATTGTGTTTGTATTTGTATTTGTTTAAAATAATCGAATTCGAATGCGGACTCTAATATTCATATTTGGAGTCTTCGAATTCGAACCTGAATAATTGGTATTTGATAAATATTCATGACTAATACTCGCGAATACTTATCGAATATCAAAGTATATTTATTCCGCTAATGAATAATTTGATTTTCAAATAGTATTTAAATTCATTAATAAAAATTATTCATTTATAATATATAATTTATATATATTTAAATCAAAATTTTATTAGAAAACAGATTTAAGATTACTTAAGTCTTCAAATTAGTACATAAAACTTAAGTAGAAATGGTGAATGATTAAAAATATGACGTCATATGTGTAATAATATTAATAATGAGTGATCAAAATTTAGGCCAATGTTTGGTAGACAAACGAATCGAATTGAATATACATCTGGTTAAATTCTATTCGTTAGTAAACTCAAATACTTAAAAATATTGTTTAGTGGTAAATGAACTACCGAATCGAATATGACCGAATAGTTACTTGAACGATTATCGAACTATTTATTAATTATTTAGTTCATCCATCCCTACTTGTGGCTTTGAGAGAACTCAGACTCCTAGCTACAAAATCGATCATTTACTGTTGAAAAAGTGTTATATGTGCATCTTTTTAGTTCTATATTGCATCTTCGTTGCATTGAAAGGTAATTATTAATAGCCTATTTGGTTAACTATGCCATTGATCCTTGCATCATTTGTTTCCAACATGAGCAAAACATTTCATTTTAATTTGGGTTTGCTTAATACAATAGTTGTCGCATGTGGTTAGCAAAAAATTAAATTTATAGTTACTTTCCTAAGGTAATAAAGTACTTCATGAGAATCTCTTTTTTTACACAGATTACTTGATCAAACCTGTGTTGTTAGGACAAAAGGCTAAAGCAGCTCCAACAACATTTTCCAATTAATTAAAGTTGGTTGCATCTTTCACTTACCATTTTCACAATTGAAGAAATGTCCAACTGCACCATTTGCTACCAATTAATGAAGTTAGTGATCATTTTTAATCCAAACAAAAAATTCTATCAAATCAAACCCTTGTCTAAACATTTACAAAATCAAACTTCAATAATGATATGTCTTGTGGACAGTAAATGCATAATGCCAACCAGTCTCCAATCAGCATCATGTGATATGTCTTGTGGACCGCACTGGGCTTTTCTACTATAAAAACCTCAACATCACATGAGAGAGAGAGAGAGAGAGCGCGCGCATAACGTGCACTTTACTCTGTGAGAACTATAAAGTGAGCTTTTCTGTATGTGGGCCCATGAGCCATGTGGACCGACCGTACCGAAAATGATTGGTTTATCTAGATCTGTCGCCTAAACTTGGACTGGACGTTGATTAACTCCAAAGTTAGTAATCATAATGATGATCATTCACGAGGTAGATTGTTGCAATCCCTTGAGGGCTTTTAAGTTGCGTAAAGATCTCGTGGATTTGGATACGTAGATCGCGTCTTGTCTTCGAAGTATTGATCAGCTCCCAAGAGCATAGCATGGGCTAATTGCTTTTACGTGTACTACTTTTCAGTGTACAACTTTTTAGGAGTAATGTTCCTATCCGAACAATGCTCGATACGGGAATATCTCGGTCGGAAAATGATTTAAGAACCCAAAATATAGGACCAATGAAAGGGACATGTGAGGTTTCCTCTCCCTATTGCATAATGAGTTGGAGCCAACTCATTATGCAATAGGGAGGGGACACCTCACATGTCCCCTCCCTTGGTCTCATATTTTGGGTCCCCGTAGCAACACTACACATAAGTCGGGATAATTACCAAAATATCACTTCTGCAGTGGACATGTTCGAATCAGAACAACCTGTACTGGGCAGGGCGTCCTGCAGGGCGTTCTGATAGACTTCATACTCATTTCTCAGTGAATGTGTTTATTAGAATTTCACTTTTTCTTTTTTGGGTTAATTTCACGTAACCCTCTAAATT